TTGTTTTGTTTTGTTTGTGTGTTTGTTTATGGAGACTAGGTTTCTCTGTGTAGCCTTGGCTGATCTGGACTCTCTTTGGAGACCAAGCTATCCTCAAGCTCACAGAGATCTGCCTGCTTCTGCCTTCTGAGTGCTGAGATTACAGGCATACATTACCATGCCCTGCCTATTCTACACTCTTACTAGGAGCACTGTAAAGAAGCATTCAAATTTCAAGGAGAACATTCTCAAGAACACCTCTGATAATTGGAGTCAACCCTTGGTTCCTGAGGATGGGGTACTCTACTTTTAACTATGTATCCAAGATTTTAAGACTGATCTGAGTAGAAGTAATTTTTAGCACTCTCGCTATTTTCTTGTTCTACCCAAACTTCAGAATTTCTTTTATATTCTGCTCTGACGTTAGTAGCTATAAAGGAACAAAAAGTTAAGCGTTGACTATCTTAAGTCCTATCCTCAACTGAATTATTTGTCTCTTCTGGCTTCTAAGATGAGAAACAATTGGTTGTGAGTCTCCCTCTTTTTGAATTCAACTATGTTGCTTTCTATTATAGACTTGCAGGTGTTGTCTAAAAAGAGATAGAGGAGATGAGAGAAGAGAGGGAAGAGAAACTTGTCTGAGAAACCTGCTTGGAAAGTATTTCTACCCTCAGTGATTCCACTTATAAATTTATGAATGGCCCTTGGTGGGATCCTTCTAGATAAGAGAGCATCTATCCCTTCATCACTCCTTGAAAGTCACAATTTCCTTTTATCTGTGTAAAAGGGGACCATTCTCTCTTTAAATTTTCCTTGTCCGAGTATTTGCCACACCTGCTTCCTGGAATCTTCTCTTCTGTCTCAGTCCCATTGTGGTTTAATGACTGTTTAATGACTGGGCTTTGAATTTCTAGGTCTGACCTACTCTTACAGTCTGGTTTATATTGCCAACATGATGTTTGCATCTTATTTTTATTTTCTTCATCTCTCCTTACACAGATGTTTGAGGCCCCTTCAGTAACCCTTCAATATTTCTGTCCTTCCAGCCTTCAATCTTCTGTAACTTTCTTGCTTGGTCTGACCAGCTGTTAGTTGCACAAGCATTTCTTGTATCAAGGGCTCTTTTGTGTCTAATCTAAGGTACTTTCTGAATTGGTCCTACAACATTTCTAGGAACTCTGCAGTTTTTACAAAGTTTCCCTATTATATGCTGAAGTCTGATTCATATTCTGGAACTGGAATACTCTTCCAATTAAGTATTCAAGGAATCCCCTCATGTGAACTAGGTGTACCTCATTATTATTATTCATACAGGATATTGGTTGGGGAATTTTTCATCTGCTGCTGCTATACCCTGTCTTTCACAGGTTATGATCTTCTTATCACCCCCTTCTTCTAAGTAGATAAGAGAATAGTCAATATTGGTATCTATTCAGACTAGTTATACAGTTAACATCTAAGTAATTGATCCAAGTGATCAATCACCTGGATGGATTTTCTATCAGAGGCTTCAATTCCCTTTTAAAATTCAGACCTCTGAATTGTTAGGGGATATGACTGGCAAATTTTAAGCTCCCACCCCCCCACACACCTAAGGGAACCTTCCTAATGGGAACATATAATGAGGAGGTTCCTTTTCTGGGAAAGGAACATGTAGAATATCCTTCTGATATCATCCATGTTTTTTTTTTTCTTGGGGGGGGTGATGGGAGTATAAAGGGAGCTGAGTTTCAGGAACAGGAGGAAGAGAAACCTTTTGGAAGGAGGTGGGCTTGAGAGAGCAGGATATATTAGAGTTGGGTTCAGAAGGGATCCTGGCATGAGAAGAAGAGGCAGATGATCATAAAGACCCAATTTTGATGGTAGGTTCTCCCCCTTTTGTTTGCTTTGTTATGGTGCTGTTTCCTAGGAAAGAGGGTACCAGATCCTTCTGTCCAGCAAAGAGTGCAATCTACATCTGGACTCACCATATCTATGTTATTAATAAAATCTAAGAGATTTCAGAGCACCCAGTCTTCTTGAGGCCTAAATTTTGTTAAAGAACCACTGATTTAAGAAACCATGCCTGAAGCCAAATAAAACAATCATATTTAATCATCTGTTGTTTAATCATTACTGCTTTGTTCGGGGACGGTGTGTCTCTCTTGTGCTGTAGCATGTGACCCCTAGGACTATCTGAGGGAGTTTTATTCTTAGTCATCTCAGTTTTTTATTCTTCTCTTAAACCAAAGTAGAAGTCTTATTTTCAACCCCTGTCTGGGGTTGTGATATCTTTTTTTTTTCTTATTATATATATACAGCATTCTGCCTGCATACCAGAAGACTGCTCCAGATCTCATCATAGTTTGTTGTGAACCATAATATGGGTACTGGGAATTGAACTCAGGACCTCGGGAAGAGCAGCCAGTGCTCCAGGCCAGGGTTCTGATATCTTGATTAGAGGTTCATCCTTCACCTTTTTTTCCTATTGTGAAAATCCTTGGAATGCATTAAGACCTCCTTTTGTATTATATATCTAATATCACTTATGGGTGAGTATATACTATGTGTGTCTTTCTGCTTCTGGGATACCTCACTCAGGATGATCTTTTCCAGTTCCCTCCCACCATTTGCCTGAAATTTTCATGATTTCCCTGTTTTTTATTTTGTTTTGTTTTGTTTTTCTGCTGAGTAATATTTCTTTGTGTAGATGTATCACAATTTCTGTATCCATTCCTCAACTGAGGGGCAGCTGGGTTGTTTCCAGCTTCCGGCTATTACAAATAAAGCTGCTACAAATATGGTTGAGCAAATGTCCTTGTTGTATACTTGAGCATTTTTTGGATATATAGGATAAACATACTAAAATCTGTACACCTAAAGAAACTAATTAAGAAGGAGGACTCTGGCTAAGATGCTCAATCCCCTTTCAGAAAGATAAAGAGGATGGACATCAGAAGAGGAAGAAAACAGGGAACAGGATATGAGCCTACCATATAGGGCCTCTGAAAGGCTCTACCCTGCAGGGTATCAAAGCAGATTCTGAGACTTATAGCCAAACTTTGGGCAGAGTACAGGGAATCTTGGGAAAGAAGCAGGAAATAGTAAGACGTGGAGAAGACAGGAGCTCCACAAGGAGAGCAACAGAACCAAAAAATCTGGGAACAGGTGTCTTTTCTGACACTGACACTCCAACCAAGGACCATTCATGAAGATAACCTAGAACCCCTGCACAGATGTGGCCTATGGCGTTTCATTGTCCAATTAGGTTCCATAGTAATGGGAACAGGGACCATCTCTGACAGGAACTGATTGACCTGTTCTTTGATCACCTTCCCCTGAGGGAGAAGCAGCCTTATCAGGCCACAGAGGAAGACAATGCAGCCAGTCTTGATGAGACCTGATAGACTAGGCTCAGAAGGAAGGAGAGAAGGACCTCCCCTATCAGTGGACTTGGGGAGGGACATGGTTGGAGAAGGTGGAGGGTGGGTGAGATCGGGAGGGGAAGAGAGAGGTTGCTACAGGGTGGATACAAAGTGAATAAACTGTAATTAATACAAATGAAAAATAAAAATTTAAAATTAAAAAAAAAAACACACACACACATACACAAAAGACTCCCTCTTGGCTATTGGCGAATATGTATAAACCTCCAAATGGGTTTTAGAGCCCATGATCTCCACTTTGTGCTTCATGAGGGTGTCCTCCAGTTAAAGGTTTCTAGTACATTGTCTGAATCACCTTCTCAATCTCAGGCCTGGTGACTGACTAGAACTGTGACTTAGGAGGACACACTTGCTTTGCCTTTCAATGGACACTTCTGTTGCACTCAATCATAGGACCTTTAAGATGCTTCAGAAAGTAAGAGGCTAGAATTCTCAACTTTTTCCCACTTTGGTCTATGCTGATAGGTACCTGGTCCCTCGCATGCTTGCATAGGGCCCTTACTGCTGCACTCTCGATCTACCTTCAATTTGAGGTTACAGTTATTAGTAAGGGCGACCAAATATTTTATAAATTAGGAGAGTCGTTTCATGCTCTATAACATGAACACCTGGAGTTAACCTTTGTGAAGCAGACATTATTTTAGCTATTTTCTCAAAATTCCTATTCTGAGCAGTTGAGCCCAGTATTGTAATTTGCTAAAATGTATGAATAATGCATTTTTATTACCAGATTTTGGTTTTCTGGGAATTGAGTGAATCAAATTGACAATGTGAATACATCCTTATTATCATGGCACATGAGTGGGTTTGTGATGGAGAAATCTACTTGGATGGACTAACATACTTAGTGTTTAAAAAGTTTTACTTTTTAGTTAAAAGTTATTTAAAAATAAGATTTTTTTTTTTTTTTTAGTTTTCTCTAATTTTTCTACCATTAATAAACATATCCCCAGGGTTTCTGCCTTAACTTTTCCAGCCCTACAGGTGGTGTTAGGGTCTTTTACTGCCTTGCTGTAGTGTAGATAGCTCCATAGAGGCTTCAGGAAAGTAGAGAAAGAATGCCGCAGGACAGGTCTTTACTCAGACAAATTGAAATGGAGAGTTGAACAGTTACCAATTAATTGATTAAATGTGCTCAGTCAGGCCAGATAAATCAAAGAAATGTGCTACCCCCTGAATGGGTTGTCAGCGTGAGATTGGCCTGAAGTTTCTGAGATAATTACCTCAACTTTCTGCTTCATCTTCACTCACATAGACCCAGCCTGAATTTTCCCCTAGTGAGATAGTGAACAAGCGAAATTATCCCCAGCTCTTCAGAAGACTTTTAAACATCTGTAACTTTGAGATGCTATTTTGCTATAATTTCTACCTAACTTTACTCTTTGCTTTGCAAAAATGCATTATCTGCACTTTTTGAATGTTTTTCAGATGGGTGTCTTTACTGGCCTAAAGCTTGTGGAAGGGCTTCTGCCCTAACATCTTGAATGTTGAGGTTCTAAGCTTCAGATGCTTAACGCATAGTTTGTAACATCCAGCTCTCTATTGAAGCAAAAATCTATAAAGAAAAGAAATAACCTTGACATTTATTTTTTTTAGATGGCAGCTGAATGGCAGTGATATCGATACAAGTCTGGACCATCGTTACAAATTGAATGGAGGAAATCTTGTAGTTATTAACCCCAACAGAAACTGGGATACAGGAAGTTACCAGTGTTTTGCAACAAATTCTCTTGGAACTATAGTGAGCAGAGAAGCCAAACTCCAATTTGCCTGTAAGTTTATATTTGTAAATATATCAAAACCAATATTTTAAAATGCAAATATATGTCTGTGTGGTCACCTAGAAACATTTGGAAAAAGATGTGACTTTTAAGATCAAAAATTGGTTGAATAATTGGGCATTGTTTTTGGACCCTCTTTATGTTCTTCTAGAGGGACAGAACTGATAGAATAGATAATATATGTGCATTTATTAGAATGGCTTATAGGCTATGATCTGCATAGTACTGTAACAGCTGTCTACCAACACAAAGGTGAATAATCTGTTAGTTGTTTAGTCCACAATGTATGTCTCAGCTAATCTTTGGTCTGTTGGAATCATGAAGTACATTTTAATACCAGGGAAGGATAGATAAACTTGCTGGTAAGAAAGAGGGTTAACAGGTTGCAATGCAAAAGCTTCCTTCTTTCATGTCCTGTGACATGCCTGAAGCCTCAAATAAGCCAATTGAGGAAATTCCTGGCAGGTGTGTCCAGATACCTGGATTTTGGCAGATTCCAGATGTAGTCAACAAAGGTTAGCTATCACAGATCCCAATCTAATATAAAACTGAGACATGCAAACCTGTGCCTGTGTATATTCTACATTGATATTCTGCAAAAGTTCTGCCCCGGGATTGAGAAAGCATGCGGTTAAAGCTGTACTTACTCGACAGTGACTATGTGTTTTGCCCTGAGCTGGAATTGAAAGGCAAATAAAGTTCCTGTCCTGGTGGACCTTATTCTTGAACATTCAAATTAGAAATATATTCTACAGCTTTGAACAAAACTAAGGGATATACAAGGAGTAAACAATAAAATAACTTATTTGATGACATATGTGCGGCTTTGTTGTGGTTTTGTCAGAAGTGATCTTTCCCCATCCTCTGCCACAAGTGACCTTCAATTCAACCCCATTGAGCCTGGGCATTGAAGACCATGTCTACACCACATCAATGGACCTAGAGTCACAAGGGAGCCAAACACATTCTCCCCCTTGAGAGTTTAAAACTGGAACCAGAGAACCAATGTCATTTTTATCTGTTTCCTACCTCTTTTGTTTGTTGGTTGGTTTTAGTTACTTGTTTGGTATAGAATGCACATCATAATCACTTGGATTTAATGTTTCTTTAGTTCTTTTACATGTCAATAACTCAGAAATTGGAATATGTTAGTTCTTATAATCTGGTGGTATTTACTGCTGCCCCTGCACAGGCCATAAGGAAAATGTTGGTGTGTCATTTAGTGTGTGGCTTATTCTTTTGCAGTCTTCCTTTGTAATGGCCATGCTTGGCTTTGCTCTTGTCATTATAGTCTAATATGTTTCTTATGTTAAGCTCACCATTCTGTATCCTATATCTACATGTATTTTAAAGGACTTATTTATTCTTTTATGGCTCAGAGAAAATAACAGTGGGCAAAGCAAGAATGCAGGAAACACAGAGAGTACCGTCTCCTGGCCACTCCTCTCCATGCTCTCCTGGCTACTACTCTGCCATGCACTCCTTGCCACTCCTCTGTTCTAGCCACCTCCACTTCCATGCTATTCTGGCCATAATTGGCTGAAAACAATGAAACAGTGAGCCAAAGAAGCCTTTTCTTCTTTGGTCATTTTTTTTCCTGGTCACTTGCCAAAGTGACAAAAATCTGAGAAACACTAAAGTCAACCTTCTATGTAGCTGTCTGAAAGTATGCGTTTTAGACATGGATATTGGCATGGTAAAGATCCCTTGACCCTTGCATTCTTGGTATCAGTAAAAAAAAAAAAAAAAAAAAAAAGAAAGAAAGAAAAGGTTAGAAAGCGCACTATACCTCAACTCTTCTCTCCCTACCCCTTCCTTTTCCTCTTCCTTGCTTCCCTCTTCACTTATTGACTTAACCTTACTGTTTCTTGGTAGGGTCTTTGCTTTTCTGAGTGAGCATGTTCCACATCATCGGGACACATTTTCACTCTGTCAGTACTTGGACTCCACCTCAGAAAGTGCTGATGACCCCTCACGCTTACCTTCAGCATTCTCATCAGCCATAAATGCATTAACTACTCCTAATCTGGGCATCTGGCTGCACATTAGTCTGGCTATACAGTAAGATTCTTTTACCTTGTGATAGTTTATATTTTTCGGTGTTTCCCTGGATCTTCACTTTGAAGATTCAGAAAGCAATCTTGTTCCCAAACCTCTTAAGAAATTTCACTAACAAAGTAGGAAAGGTGTTCCTTTTAATTAATGTGTTGGGACATACATTCTGGTAAAGAGGTTAATGAATGAGATTATTATTAATCATTAATTGTAATAGCAGTAGGAGGTATTTAATAATTGTTAGAGTAGATTATCTTAACTTGGGAATGAGGACAGAATATAACACCGATACATAAATGAAAGGAGGCGTGGCGGTGGGGATAGAATGTTTGTGTGGCAGGATGCTCAGAGAAGTCCTGGCTGTGTTTACTGAAGGCAAAGACATGGTAAGCATTGGCTCTGAACAGTATTCCCCATCCCATTCAGGCTACACTATATATCCTGATGTTTCACCACTCTTGGTTTCTGTCAGCAAGGTAGAAAGCTCAGCACAGAGGAGTGGATGCGTGAAAATATAGCCATTGCCTCACTTTAGAATGGCTGTAATACAGAGACTTTGTGTTTTTCTTTTTTAATATTAATAAACATTAATATTATTTATTACAATCTCTTCACTTTGTATCAGGGCTGTAGCCCCCTCCCTCATCTCCTTTCTGTCCCACCTTCCCCCCTTCTTCTCCCACTATGATTCTCCCCTAATCCACTAATAGGGGAGGTCTTCCTCCCCTACTGTCTGATCTTGGCCTATCAGGTCTCATCAGGGCTGCCTGGATCCTTTTTCTCTGTGGCCTAGTAAGGCCATCTATCCAGGAGGAGGTGATCAAAGAACAGGCCAGAGTTCATGCCAGAGACAATCCCTGCTCCCCTTGCTAGGGTACCCCCATTGAGACTGAGCTGCCCATGGGCTACTTCTGAGCAGGAGGTCTAGGTCTTCTCCATGCATGGTCCTTGGATGATTCATCAGTCTCTGCAGACCCCCTTGGGCCCAGAATTGTTGGTCTCCTGGTGGAGCGCCTGTCCTCTCCAGGTCTCCTATCTCCCCTCTCCTCCATTTAAAATATGACTGGTAAGATAATTAAGACATAGTTATTCATAGTACACAAACCACTTTTCTTTGGGGATTGTCACTGTCTTTCAGTAGATTGTTGAATATACAAACAAATTATTGACAGAAGAAATATGTGAAAGAATGTGAATTTTACATATATTTTAGTAATTGGTTGCTGTGTAATATGTATGTAATTTTTCATATCTGTTGGAAGTGTTTTCAAAATTTCTTAATTTTATATACTGGAGGTCTAAAAGTGTTCAAAGCTCACATGTGCTTAATCTAATTGATTATTTTTGCCTTACTGTTAAATAATTCTTGATTATATATTTTTTAATTTTAACCATGTTTGAGATGGAATGTGTTTATAAAACTAAGAATTATACAAAATGAACAATGGGATGAAGAAAACATGAGGAATATCTATTACTAGGTACTTACTGATTAGAATTTGAAATATTTGAAATGTCATTTATTTTCCTAAGGGAGAAAAAAAAAAGAACCCTAGTGTGAATCCTTTCTCCTCGCTGCTTATATAGATGGTTACTATGCTAAATTTAATGAATTTCATGTGTGGGCATTTATCTGCATTTTGACTGCATGTACTTCTAAAAGCATTTTTACCATTTTAAATTTCTTAAGGGCAATTAACAAAATACATATTTGTAAAACTTTTTATTCCTTCCTATGCTTGGAAATACCTGTTGATCTACAAAGTCGTGTATACTTGCTTTTATTTAAAACTAGTTATTATCAAGTTTTTAACATACATAAATCTGATCAATGCAAAATTGGTCTTATGTGATTTTTTAAAATTTCTTTAATAATTATAAAGAATTCAAGAATTTTTAAAGTTATTGATATTTGTATATCTTTCTACTATATGAAAATTCTTAAGAATGTATATTTTCATTCATTGAAAACTACATATATGTATACATCGTATCTTGATCATATCCACATCCACTTCCTCAATCTCACTCATCCAGAATCCATTCAACACAATCCCTGTCCAACTTCCTGTCTTCTTTTATTTTATTTTTTTATAAACCACTGAGTTCAATTAATGCTCCCTCCATGTACTCATTGTAGGGATAATGCACCTGAGCTCTGACAATCCATCAGCTTCCATACTCCCATAGAAATAAGACTCCATCATACCAGAAGCCATTAACCACTTGGCTCCTAATTCCTCACCACTCTGTGGATATCAGTCTTTTAAAAATTATGTCCTTTATGTGTTATAAATGACTCTCTTTTGTCATTTATGTGTATCTTTTATGTATATCAATATCTACTTTGTATTTTTAAAGATTTTTTTTTTTTTACTTAGTTTTAGACTGATTTTCCTGCACAGCAGGCCTATGTCTTCCTGGAGCTCTGTTTCATGTATTTCTGTACTTCATGGCTTGGGTCTAATGTTTTTTTTCCTTATTCCTAATGTCCATAGTTTTAATGTACAGTGTTCTCAAATGTGCCAAGAAAGAATGAATTATGCAGTTATTTTAGCTAGACTGTCTGCCTTAAATTGTTATATGGGGTAGTTGACTGAAAGACTGGACCATATACTGTGCTGGAAATAATTTTCATTAGAATAATAAAACTGCTTCTTGACTGGCTTATTTCTGTTTCTGTTCTTGGGGATATCTGATGCCATATTGATGGTATTCTATATTGAGGGTCCCATATTTCCCAAAGAAATCATGTGGGATTTTCTTTTTCTATGTAAATTCTGAACTTTCAGAATAATTTGTTTGGTTCTTGAAAATGTTTTATCTTGTATCCTAATTACACCATAGATTTTAAAGCCAGGAGTCTTTGGCGAAGAATTTTATATTTTCCTTTTCTTGTATTTTTGTTTATGAGTAGTGTGATGTATGCCTTGAGC